ATTCCAGCGGGTCATTCTGTTTGTATTTTGTTTATATTTCTCATTTGCATAACTTGAATGATCAGTTTGATCCTGTGTTTTCCACTTCATTCACCTGATGAATGCTAGCTCAAACTAGCGAAGGCTTGTGTCTCGATGTACTCATTTCATTTGTATTTTATGCTATAGGCTAATACGGCTCCTACTATTATTATTTGCAAAAATATACTAAAAGTAGTAATATTTAATTGAAATTGTTATTTAAAATAATATCATTTCTGTGAATAACATACAAGTTCTTGTATTTGAATTATATTTATTTCAATTTGTGCCATAATTTATTATAGTTTGTTTGCATTGAAAATTATGAAAAAAAATAATTGAATTTTATTTTATAAACTCGGTCTGTATAGGCCTACATGAGGTTAGCCATGCACTCATAACTTACCGGTATGGATCTTGGTTTATCTAAGATTTTCTTACAGCATGCATATCGTAAAAGTTAAAGCTATCTGTCATAATTATGCATCTTGAATACAAACGCAAGATGCACAATTATGACAGGTAGCTTTAACTTTTACGATATATGCATGCTATAATAAAAATGCAAGAGGCTTTGCTCTTTATACGGGCATTGGTTTTTCACGGGACTTCGGTCTTCCTGGGCTCCTGTCTTTGGTCTTTCAATGGACTTTGGTCTTTCAACGGGCCTTGGTCTTTCAAAGGGTCTTTACTCTATCAACTTTCAAATCAAAATTCAAATTTAAATTTATGGAAATAAAATAATTAAATAAAAATCTTTGGTGTAATTCTTTATGTAAGTCTTTATGGGCATTTTGCAATAATATGTATTTTCTTTATGTTTTTGTTGTTTTTTCTTGTATTTTATCTAATCTAATTAATGTCTTTTGAATGTGTATTTTAATTATTTTTTAGTACTGCTTACCAAAGGGCTCTGGTCTTTAAAAGGATTTTGTTATTTCATGTAATGGAAATCAAATTCCTTATTCCAAAAATTGGACAAGTAGTATAAATTATAATTCCGTAAGACCTATTAATTAGTGCGCTGACTTCTGAATGAATGTGGTTTTAATGAGTAGGCCTATACAACCTCTGATGGCTCATATTGAGCTATGATTACAATTGCAAAAAATATTTTTAAAAGTTATTGTGAATATGTCGGAGAACCTTCATAATATTGCTTTTAAGATTCCACTTTTCATTGAAAATATCCTGAAAGATTGTAATAATAATAATAATATATTCTCTGACATTCGTAATGGCAATGATAATATTAACATGCAATGGGCTTCCAATACGAAGAATGATTTAAGAGATCTCACATTATCTCAATGGTTTGAAGAAAGGAAAAGCAAGTCGTCTATTAAAGACCATATGACTATAAAGAATGCTCCTACATTGGAGGTATATCTTCTTGCAATGACTTTGAGGGTGCATCATTGAAATTCAAATTAAGATCGAATACCCTTCCTCTTGATGGTAAAGTAGCAAAATGGTTTAATCGGACCCTAATGATAATGGGCTCTGTGGGCCTAAATGCTGTAATATAAACGAAGAAAATATTACTCACTTTGTATTAACTTGCCCTGCTCTATATTATATTAGAAATGAGGAAATCGAGAAGTTTAAACAGCAACTCTCTATTAACGATTGCCTACACGTTTTCTAACAATTAGGTATTGAAAACAAATTACTTTTTGTACTCGGCAATGACAATAACTTATTTCATAAACAAATTAAGATCTTGATTGACAAATTTTGCAAATCATTAGCAAAAAGAGCATGGAGAAAAAGGTGTGATCTTATTAAAGATTAAATTGTCTTTGTGTTGTTGTGTTTTATGTCTCTTTGAGTGCCACCGATATAAATGGTGTATGTCAAGTTATTATAAAAATATAAAACTTAATACTTTTTATAGACCTACTGTACCCTCTGATTAGCTAATTATAAATAATAACGCCTAATCCACATAGCTGTTGTGTGTTGAATGATGGCACGGCCAGGATAAGCCTACGGCACATAAGATAGGTATCGATCGGCTGTGGATGATAGGCCTATACAATTGTACATTGGCCGAATTTATTTATTCAAAACTTTCACTTTACCGTTATCACTATCTGCATAACGTGACAGGAATTCCAATTTTGCGGGGTTTTTTTTATGTATTGATATTTTATTTTTACAAATAATATTTTAATGGCTTGCAATTCTTAAAATAATTCTTAAAATGATTTAAAATCATATAGCTAACAATTTTACTTTAAGCCAAATAAAAAAAAACACTGTGTTGGCCACGCTCAACTCACCTAAAATGTACGAAATTGAGGTTCGGCTTTTTAGTGTTTTCTTTTTTTAAACTACAGTACAACAAAAGTTGTTTTTTTTTTTTACTACAGTACAACGAAAAATATATATCTAATGAGCTAAATAGGCTATAATACGCGATGCAACAGTGTTATGCGATCGTTTTGCTCTTTAGTATAGATTTAGAATGGTCTTTTTTTCCTTTCCTACCGGCCTACCCATCCACCCATTTTTTTTATTTTCCCAAAACGTGGCCAACACAAGAATTTTTTTTGTTGGCCTTATGATAGAGTTGCAGAAGGCAGAAGTAAAACCATAAATGCAACCTGAGGTTGTATGAATTGAGAGAGACTAGTGGTCTTAGATCCGTAATAATGTCGTACGGGCCTCTGTGGTCTAAACTGTATGACGCTCGCAGAGATAGCTGGAGATTGTGGGATCGATTCCCACAACAGACCCCTTTTTTCATACAACTATAATATATATACTGTCTCTTATACACATCTAGATGTGTATAAGAGACAGAAGCACACCTGTGCTCACACCTGCATCGACCTGCACAAGCGTAGATGTTTACGAAAGGCGTCAAGAACAATACATATACTAAACTAACCATCACACAAACGTTTAAATGCTCAAATATTATTTTGTATCTATAACCCGAAGGAAGAAGTTCTAAATCATCCACAGCGTGTCAAAAATTAGTAATTCTGTTTCTGTACGTAATAAAAGTAAACAAAATAACCCATTACAAGCATGTATATTAAATCTCTATAAGAAGTCATGTTACCTCAGTTATGTATTAACAAGTCCGTACATGATTCTGCTACAAACTGATATAAATTCTGAGACTAGATTTAACAGATAAATAACAATGTCACCAGAACAATCGTCAAACTTCTGATTACCATAAATATAAGGTTTCCTTACTATTATAATTACGATGACATCCAATACGCTAATTTCATTTTTATCCATCCGATGTTTGTTCGTAGAGAATCGTAGTGATATTTGAAGCACACATGTATGCGATAGGGCTAATTCATTGTTTTATAATTGGGAATGTACACAAACTGAAATGGTTCAAAAAATTCCGCAAGAGAACTAGTCACTCGTGTCTACACATAGAAGTAAAAATTGTTGGAGCTTAAGCATAGTGGCGTTTAAAATATGCGTTATATCCATGGCAGTTATTCTTGAATATATAAATAAATAAGTTAAATTTATTATTATGGAATATATAACTCATTAAACAATTGCACAAACAACAATAAAAAAAATTAAGGTGTTTTATCTTCTCGGTTGTACACGATGACTGGTGTATTTTAACTGTCATTATTGTAGTAGCATTTCAAGTGTTATCATAAAGATTGTAATTATATCTTTAAATAAAAAACAAGTAAAAGTAAATGTGCAAGTACATATACATTTCATTTCGGTTTCATTCAAAAAGAAATCACCTATAACAGTTGTAATTACAACTATTTCTTTGATAGTGAATCTTATTTTCCTTTCTTAAATTGGCGATCGTGTTCAGTATGTCATTGTCAGTGTAGGCCTACCATCCCTTCACGATTTTATACCATATTTATAGATGGTGGTTCTTTCTTCCCGGAAGGTCAAGTGATATTGAGGTATCCTGTTAAATAAATGAAATGATATGATGGCTCATAAACCAAGTCTCATATTTATTTTAGTGGTGAAAAAAAGTCCTTGCTGTCACAGGATTTGAACCCAGAACCACGGTTGGAAGTCAAGCTACATCTTTAATCCCTACAGTTACACTAAATTATTTTTTAACAGGGGAACGTTGTCTATTGCAGTGTTATTTTGGCACGACAGTATACATTCAGTATCAAAAATTTAATCCATATTTTTAAGAACCAAATATTTCTGTCCGTTAGATTTAGATTAAAATTTGTAGTTATTAAACATTTTTCCCCATCCAACAAATGTCAAATGATATCAAAAGTTGTTTACAATAATTAAGTTTAAAGCAAAACAAAAACACAAGTGCCAACTAAATTTATTATTATGTGACTATTTTTCTATTAAACTTCCGTGTATACACAAACATAACATCCTATTTCGGTGTATTAGTCATTCCATATATTAATAACAAGGTAGTGACATTTCACACTCGCTATATTCCTCAAAGTAGGCCTACATACCTGGCAAATTTCATTTGCCTATTGATTTTTTTTTTTGTTGAAAAACATGAAAGTATATATTAGGCATTTTTAAATGGATGTGCTATTTATTGAGCATCCGTTTATTAATTTCACAGTATAAACTATTTCACTTTACTTTCTAACATTTTGAGGAATTACTGACGAGCTTAGAATATGAGGCTCTATATAAAACCCGTAATAAATACAGACATCCCATACTCATTGCAAGTACTTACGTGAAATGTGGGTTTCGCTGAAAAAATATCGTGACGTCATTTACATTTCGGAAAGAAAAATTGCTTGGATTGATTAAAGTTTGTTGCATCTATTTTCAACAGAGGTGAATGAATCGTAATCTGATCAATTGGATATCATTAAGCATGACCTGCGAGATGGACTCGTATACTGTGAGATGGGCTGATAGACTATGAGATGGTTGTCCAATTCCAAAAAAAAACTTGCAATGTCAGTTCATTGCGTCAAGTGTTAACCGCTTGGCGATGATTTGCACACACAATACACAACCATCCACAAAGCAAGATATCACTTCCCGTAAAACCAAGTGATTTATACGCTGTCTAATAATTACTGGATTTAGCTTATGTACATATTGCAAAATGTAATTCTCTACGTTAATAATTACAATTTATTCACATTCTTCTACTGTTTTTCTTAATAATTACGAAGACGATGTGCGTTTTTTTACCTTCGGGAACTGTAGAAGAGATGGGCCATCAACCTCGCTAAACCTCGGATAAGTGCTCACAGTCGGAATACACTCCGGTATAATATGGAATATTGTATAGGCCTAGTCATATATGTGTATTGTTTGTGGCCATGGCATCTAGCTTCGGGTGCAACACCTCAATCAAAAAACTCAGGTAGGTGTTATCAAAACTTGGCTCAAAACGTTAGGCCTAAAAAGTGAGCGCATCATGGCCTACGCGAAACGTTCCTTAAATTAATACCGTAACGGTAGTGCCACCGAACCAGCATTCGATGCTAGTAGTAGATTACAGTAATTAACTATGGTAACGTATTGTGAAAATTCGGGCCTAGCTATTTAATGTGAAATAGGGATATTCTATACTTTTTTGTATCATAACTCTTCCAAACTCCATCTAAGGCAATTGCAAACGTCAACGGCGTTTATAGCTTCAATTATTGCCCATCCACTGATTCAACGAAACAATCACAGGTAATTTACAATAAGGAAATGTGTGGGAAGCTATATATGCTTTTACTCTTTAATAAACACTATTAGAGTATAAATCATAGACAAATAGCCCGAGGAATTGCAAAATCACGTCATTTTACACGTACAATCAGCGTTGGTTCTATTTCAAAAATACAATCTGTAATAGTATGCCATAATAATATTCTCTTAAAAGTTCTCCAGAGCCTCCAATCTTTACCAAAAATTATTTATAAGTCTACGCATTATATTATTTTATAGGGTACGTTTTATTTCACTTTAAAAGCCTCTGTAATGTAATACAATGTAATATGTTGTTTTATTAATTTTAATGTTTTTAACCAGTGCAAACCTGTAATATTTTAACATTTTCTCACATTTTGATTGAATTGAAATAAAGATTTTTATATACTGTATATGAATCGTTTTGATAAAGAACCTTTTTCATGCCAGCTTTGCGGTTAGAACCACCCTCTCAAAAGATTATTAGATAAATGAACACAAATTAATAAATGATAAAATTAACTTGTTTTACTTATCATTATTATTTCGTCATCTTTATTTTTAGCGATAGTATTATGGCTACTTCAAGCATAATAATAATATTAATAATAGTAATAATAATAATAATAATAATAATAATAATAATTATAATAATAATAGATGGATTTATATAGCGCAAATAAATGAGGCCTCTATGCGCTAGGGACTAGATGTTGTACTTTTCAATAACTTTCTCCTCCCGTGAGGGTCACTTCATGTCCTCTGCAGCCAGTAAACCGGCGCCATTTCATCTGCCCACGACAGGGGCGAGTGAACCAGTACACATGGGGTAACCCCCTACTCATCTCGAAAGATGTACTGGGTTCTTTAAAGTGCACATGAACCTTTGTGTACACTGGGGTTACGGTTTATAGTCCTTATCCGAGATAAGATATATATGTTGAAGCTTGAGGTACACCACGTAAGAAGTTCTGAAAAGAATTGTTGTTGTTGAGAATCTTTACCAATGTTTGCACTGGTTAAAAACATTAAAATTAATAAAACAACATATTACATTGTATTACATTACAGCAGGCTTGTAAAGTGAAATAAAACGTACCCTATAAAATAATATAATGCGTAGACTTATAAATAATTTTTGGTAAAGAGTTCTTTTCAGAACTTCTTACGTGGTGTGTACCGCAAGCTTCAAAATACCGTACTCGCGCGAATAAGCGCCCGGGCGCTTAAAATATTTTTGCACTTTTTGAGGGGCGCTTATTCAAACGGGGCGCTTATTCGAACGGGGCCTTATCAAAACAGAGTGGAAATTGAGGGGGCGCTTATGGAAATAATTGAAAATCGAGGGGTTATTATGAGAACTTATTAAATTCAAGAAGCACATTTTGAATGAAAAATTATTATATAAGGACATTAGTAAACTGCAAATTACGAATGGTTGTGCGGCGGAAAAGAAGATAATCGTCCAGAGAGCATGGCTTTTCATGACAAGAATGTTGGGAGTACATTATTACATAACAGCAGAATAACAGATTAAATTAGTGGTGGTGGTTAGAGCTCTTTGGCCATCGGCCGATTGAGATTAGCAGGATTGCATGATCAATGCAGGTTTTCTTGAAAACTCAGATGAGAATGTGTGGTGCAAATTGTCGGAAAAGCACGTAGGAATAGGCTATAGAAAAATATAAGAAGATGAAAGTTGGAAATATACTGTCTGTCCAGGGAGCTCTCATCTATCCAAGATAAATATCCTCATTTTGATTGACTAAAGGAGAATATGATTCCACTCCACACCTCAAATCATGCCAACATCCACAGTCCAGAATTGATTAAATTATTCAAATTAGAAGGGGGCGCTTATTCAAACGGGCGCTTAAGGAAATTTTCACGTTATGAGGGGCGATTATTCAAACGGGGCGCTTATTCGCGCGAGTACGGTACATGTTATTTCTGCGCCATGCAAACCGTTAAGCAATACTTTATCCGAGAAGACTTGTTCCGCCACCAGAATTATAGGAGCGAGCCGGCCGCGAACCCGTTCGGGTATTGTTGGCATGATCACGATTCCCCTACTTTAACCGCTCGGCCATAATAATGATAATAAGCATAATAATCATTCGTTTATTTGATGAGGATTATCGTAGATGTAATTGTGCAAATCGCCATCTGTCTCTTATACACATCTAGATGTGTATAAGAGACAGGTATAGGCTTATGCGTGAGTGCATGTATCATGCATAAGCCTATTATATATTGTTATGGGTGTGTGCTCGAGTACGCGTGCGCACATTGGTGTGGATCTACATCATTGACTTGTGTATGCACGTACGTGCATATATTAGTGTAGGTCTATTATAAGATATAAGGAAATGAAAAAGAATTGGTGTAAAAAAAAACGAAAAGGGGGAAAATGATTGAAATAAATGAGGTTTACTGCGCGTTTACCTTTTAAAGAGAGAAAAAAAAAACTCACCATCATCATCATCATATTTTATAGGCCCTATTATAATCATCACTATTAGGATCAACATCATCATGATCATAATAATCATTCTTATTTTCAATTCCTTAAAATCACTTACAATTAATGATGATAGGGCCTGTGCTTATTATTATGGGCGTAGACCCTATCGGTTTCACAGGATTTTGGTCGTCATTGAAGTCGCCTCTCCACCCCCCCCCCCCCTCCTCTTTACTGACAGTTCATATGGAATTTTGCGCTCTCTCAAGACAAAATTCACTAACTAAAGGAAGTGCCGAAATCTTTAGTGAATCACTAGTGATTTCCTCCCTCCGGGAAAGGGTCATATTCACCATGGTTTTAGGGCCAGGGGACCGTTATTACGACATGTAAGGTTTATGTTACTATTATTTAACAATACTACCGTACTATTTCTATAGGCTTATGTGATATATCTCAGATAAGAAAGTATAATACATACTCCAAGTATTGAAATACACACGATGGCGTGTATTTCAATACTTGGAGTATGTATTATACTTTCTTATGTGATATATTTTGTAGTATTTTTTTGTATATTTTTGCTACTGCTTCTACAAAAGGAATCTTATATTTTGAATGGAGTTTTAGGTGACTTGATGAAATGTGTGAATACGTACCGTATACAATTAAAGATATCTGTCATTATTTTTTTTTTAATAATTCCTTATTTGGATTGCCTAATTTGTATATTTAAGTAAGTTATTAACATACAATAAATAATTTCAAAGAGAAAAGTTTTCTCCGTCAGTTACCGGATAGTTAAATACTGTACATGTAATAACTTTTCTGTATTCTTTTCATTTACCCTTAGGCCTAAATTGTTTGGAAATCATAGTAAAATTTATTATTTTGTTTATGGAAGGAAGTTGATAATTTATTTGATAAAAATAAAATATTCTGGGATTTTCCCCGATTTTTTTTGTTTTTTTTGTTTGGCAGACAATACATAGTTTTGACGTTTTATACCGTACACGGTTTGTGTTACTTGAACGTACCAAGAGAGCATGTTCTTTTGTTTTACATGAATGTATGGGGGTGTATGTGTGTGTATGTATGTGTGTGTGTGTGTGTGTGTATATATGTATGTATGTATGTAGATATATATATATATATGTATATATATATAAATATATATATATATATATTTGTATATAAAATGTAGGTCTACCTGATATGCGTTTATTATTAGTTTTTACTTTTTGTTTTGTCGGGGTCAAATTGAGACAAACTTCGCTTTTATTTTTGATCCTAATTAATTAATTTTAATGTTGTCCACTTTATTTATCATTTGATGTATTTATTAATTAATTGAATAAATGTTAATTGAATTGAAAAGCGTTCTTTAAGTAAATTTATTATTACTGATAAACTAATAATATTACTTTTTAGAATTATTCTACAAAGCCTACTACAATTAACAATATTAATTATATTAATTAATAATAATAAAAATAATAATATACTATTACTATAATCTTCATAAATAATAATGCTGTGCTGCTGCTGCTGATGATGATGATGATAATAGATTCTAATCATGTATTTTCTGTCATTATCAATTAGGTACCCATGGCCTGTCAATCCACTGATTAAGGTGCTAAAGTGTTAATATCAAATAAATAGCGTCTGTGCGTTCACATTATGATCTTTATTTGTGTCACCGCAATGTTCATTATAAATATCTAGGCCAATATATAGTCTAGTGGTTGGCGCTGAACTTGAGTGCACTTCTATTGATTGCCATCATCTTGCAATAACCCAGGGGTAAACGGATGAAGGAAGAGAAACAGTACCTATACTACACATTATTCCAGAGTATTTAAGTTACAACTTGCGATTATTAAGCACAAGTAAAACGCTGTGTCGATATTACATCATATGGCGCTGTTGGTAGAGCGGTCGATTTAATTATGGTTTAGAAAAACCCTAATATGATGTGATAGAGTTGGAGGTCTTATCATAACTGAACGTACATAATCATATTATGCCAATCAAATTAAACATCACAATGTGTGATTACATAGATCTTGTCACCAGTCACGTGATTATTAGCATCTGCTTGACACTGAATAAGGTTGGATAGCGAGGAACAATTAAATTACGGATGGTTGTCAGGAATGTTGGGTCTTGACCGTGCTCAGGTGATATGATGTGCATGGACCTCGCTTGCTTCACGGCATATATTTTGCCAGGTCGACCTATGAACAATTTAATATAGACATACAGTCATATACTTGTTAACTATTCCAATACAGTTTAAAGAAAAAGTGACCAATATTAGGTCTACCCAATACTTTTTAGATACTCAATAGTCACCATATTACTTAAATCAACATAGTAAAAACTATAGACCTGCGTTTAGAAATGCATCGTATTTTTGTTATTTAGATAATTGGTGTAACAATATTATTCTTATAAAATTACATTGCATTACATTACATTCTTGAGTCCCCGTGAATAAGTTATGTAACGAATATTTAAAGTAGATTCGATTGTGATAAACAATATTATTTTCCAAAGCAGGTCGAAATACATAAAGCCCTAGATCAATTGCACTTTAGAGTATTCAGTCGTAAAAACCAATCGATATTTCACTGTTTTATTAAGAAAGATTGAAACTTTAAAATGGAACCATATGCATACTTCGCAATGTCTTAAGCCAGGTATTAAATCAGCAACGCAAGGTAATGAGCAGAAATGCTAGTTGTTATTTGGCGTACCAATTAAAAGGTAACGCCTCGTAATACTCCTTGACAAACAAATCAGTATCATTAACTGCCATGAAATATGCGGCCCGCAAGATCGTATGTCGAAGCAAATGCCCAGTGTACTTATAGTAGATATGCCTCTTAAGCCGGGCATTCACTGCTCCGGACGGTCGGCGCTCCGGACGGTCGTCGGCCGACGTGATTCTATGAAGAACGCTACGCCAAACCTCGAGCGTGCAACGGATCGTTGTAATGACAACCATTCAGACAGACGAGGTCGCGTCGCCTGGCGCTCACGGGGAGCTGAGTTGGATTCGTCGTACGACGAAGAGTGCCCGACTTAAGTTGAATATATGGGGAAGTCCTTATTTACAAATAGGCCTACTAATAATAGCAAAGGATGAAGGAGAGAAACAGTACTTATCAAACAAAAATAATATTAATATGGCCTAATCAAAATAGTGAGAATGTTGATGATGATAATAATGATGATGATTTTGAAGATTATTATAATGATGATAATCTACCTTTTGTAACCCGGACGTTTTGTAAACCGGCCTTTTCGTTGAAATTCCGTTACGAAAAGTCCGGATTACTGAATATCCGAGTTATGAAATTTTTGCCACCAACAATAAACGATAGTAATAGTAATAATGATAACAGTAATGATCCTCATCATCATCATGGTCGGTCATGATCATGGTGCAAATCCGATGTATCTAATGGGGTTAAGCAGGTAATAACAGGACAGAATTTAAAATATGCGCGCGGAATCTGATATTACATCCGGGCATGCCACAACCAATATGCCTAGACGTAATTCTTGAGAATAGGCCTAAGTGTCAACACGGCAATAATTACCGGTATTCCTGTAGGCCTAGTGGATTGCATGAAATTACAAGATACGATACATTCCCCAAATGATCAAATGTTAAAATAAACATAATTCATCATTGTAGCGATTGAATCTTAATGTGTTCAGTTCGTAATGTACATTCCTGTTGTTACTCAGAGATTTTTCTATATGTGCAGAGTTTGTTATTAAGACATTTCACAATCATTCATGAAAACATCACCAGTTGGAACCTATTTTATAAATGTCAAATAAGAATGCCTTGTTTAAACGTGGTGTACGATTTATGAATCTGTGATGTCATAGGACCTAAGGATTGATATTTAATTGGGGGTGACAAAATAACGTTTTTTACAGTTCTTGATGTACACGCTCAAGCATCCGAGATATTTTCTGTTTAACGAATCATGTCATGGTTGTAAAATAAATTTACAACGAGAGTGTTGATATCAAAATTAGTTTAATTCTCTCTGGTATTCTAAGAATTGTATAAGTCTAAACACTTCGGCGATACTCCAAGTTGTCGTAAAATATGTCAGACGTGGATAATCTCTTAGAAACATACAGCACATACCGGTTTGATCGAACCCTGCCGCTTTCCGATGCACTGGGTTGGGGGAGGGGGTGGTGGAGAGGTGTGTAGGCTTACTCTTTGAAACAATTTGTTTGAAAATACTGAACCTGTTTGAATATTCCGTGTATGATGGGAATACACCCTTGTACCCTGCAATTTTGAACTACCGCCCCGCCTGAATCCATGCCGTCAGCTTCGGTATGTCAAAATTAATGTAGTGACGATTATAATATTTGTGTCACCCACAGGTTTCGTGGCCTCAAGTGAACACAAGCGACTTCGGGAAGTGCTGTTTAATGATTATGACGTTTCTGTTAGGCCCGTTATCAATTCATCCGACCCTACAGTCATTGATCTGCAATTTTTCGTCGCTCAGGTGTTAGATGTGGTAAGTATATGGAGAAAGTCACAGAATTTACTGGCTCTATCAAAATTAGTGTAGAATTATACTGTGGTAGCGTATATACAATTCCATAGTATAAGGAAAAAGTGAAATTATTGTATATGCCTACTATATTTTAAACTAACAAAATTCATTTAAATTCTTAGTTAACAATTATGACTATATGGAGTTATAAAAGTTAAAACACATAATTTAATCATGAAAATTAATATAAATTGGTCTTTATAACAAATTCTTAATCAACACCATCCACACAGCAGCGACTTCACGAGACATTGGTCAATCTTATCGAGGCCAGATTGTCGAAACCCAGTTTGCCAAATGCCAGATCGCCGAGTCCACTTTGGCGAAACCCAATTTGCCGAATGCCAGTTTGCCTACTCAAAAACCATGAATTCCAGTTTTTCGAGACCAAGTTTGCCGAAATTAAAAGCAGTAAAACATTAACAACAGCGTAAAATTTACGATAGAGCACTCTCTTACTATTTATTCGTATAATAACTAGCGGCTTATTGTAGTTTAATTATTGTTTTTGTGTTATTCTGTATATCCAACTTTATTGAAAAATCTGCTATGAGCAAGATAAAAAAAAATTAATTAACTATCAGATAAAATGTCTTATAAGCAAATTTATAATGAAAGTTTAACTAAGATAATAATATGTAGACCTAAAGAAATAAATAAAATATTAATAATACAATTACGCACGTCCCAGTGGTGTCTCCAGAAATTACCGGCAGGTTGTTTGAATCAAAAAACAGACTAGAGCCTCGTCAGGGCCCTGGCATAAAAATCCCTGGTAGGGTTCGGAGGGGGAGAGTTTTTGAGGGGGATACGATGCTTGATCTTTCACTTCATTTTATTTCTAATTTTAACTGATTGCTATGACTTCAAGTGTGTTTCCGACAGCATTGTTGTTTTCCAGTATTTTGCCTTTTAATTTGTATAAACACGGCTCCTCCCTGACCCACCTGTACTTTTTAAAAAGTACAGTATGCTGTACTTTTGTTCGATGGTCATGATGGCTGGATCCGGAAAACTGGGTTTCGGAAAACTGAGTTTCGGCAAACTGCGTTGTCATAATTTCAGTGAACTGCATTCGGCAAACTGGGTTTCGGTAAAGTTTTTTATAAATATGTTTAATTTTGCCTATCGATTTTTCTTCTTTTTTTTTCTTTTTTTGTAATCCACGTTTTCAGCCTTCAGGCTGTACCTGATTTAGATCAGAATAGAATAAGATAAGATAAATATTTAATATGCACATTTACATCTACTTTAGTGCCAGCATTAGTGGCCTAATCTACTATAATTATAAATACTCAAAGCGTTGGTAGTTGGCAATTTATCGTCTGCCATTAGGACTGCTAACAGCGGCCGGAATAATTCTAGATGTTAAATGTTCTAACTATCTATATGAGTTTAACTCCATATAAACAGACTCAAAATTCTGATGCGCAGATGGTCAGATCCTAAATTACGGGAACCCAGGGTTGCATGTCTCTGTTTAATCATAGACTTATAATTTCAATAACACTTACACGGATTTTACATATTGGCAGCTGATTCATTACATCTAACACGATCTCCTCATTCCCTCATGTATTTAAACATGCACTATCTATTTTCTCAAAAATGTTTTGACATAGATTCCAGCGTTTGTCATTAAAGATAAACAAACAAGCAACGCATTTGACTTAATTACTGACATCTCTTTTAGTACCTTAGCCTACCGTACTCACGCGAATAAGTGCCCGGGCGGCATTATGTTTACCCCATACTGTACAGTTAAGACAGAAATTATAGAGGGCGCTATTTTAGGTCATGATAGGCATGAATATGTATACATGACCTCCCCATCGCGAAACAGAGTTCAGTGGTGTATCGAGCTATGCGTGGATGAATGCTACGGCGTAGGTCAAAATCTCTTACGTAGGCTTTGGTAGTCAAGTGTAAAAATTAATGAATTATAATTGTAATAATATCCCTATGACTATAGACACAGTTTATGTACAGCAGGGTCTTTGGCAGTATAAAAAGCACAGTAAATCTGGCTATTTGAGTTGGCCTAGATATAACATCTGTTGTTTGTAAAATCTGTATGGCCCCTATAGATAGTAAGTGCTGATTCTGAACTTGGATATAAACGTTTAGAAATTCTCGGAGACAGTTGTTAACTTACAATTTTAAAATAAAAAAAATTTATGAGAAAAAAAAAATCACTGTCAGATTAACAGACAGTGAACTTAGTGGCTGTATTCGTCTGCATGACTCATTGGCTTGTAAAATTTAAGGATTTTTGTAGAACCGTCTTTAAATTTGTGAAAACTATTTTTTACTTCCATTTGTTTTTGATCGTTTTAATGAGTATTCAATTTTTTAGTAACAATAACAGGACATCATATCGTCAGTGTATTGAATATCGTCATCAGTTTTGTAAAATTAATGTTTATATATGCTTGCTTGATATATATCTAGGCCTATTACTTTTATACACATTGTATATGAACAAAATGTTTTGTGAAAAATCAACATTAAAACAGTACATAGAATTGTCTTAATATGTGTCCGAGCATTTTTAAACGTTTATATTCTTCAGAATCAGTAGTGCTATAATTCAATTCATTTCATTTTATTCAGTCTATTATACAAAAATATAACAGAAATGTACTTTAAAGCTAAGCGATCAAACATAAATAGTTGAAAACAGTTAAAAACAGGCTGGAAACTTTAAAATGTTCCAAACAGAACAGCAAAAAATATTAAAACGATATAATACTAAAACATTAAAATACAGTAAAACGTATTAAGAAATGTTATAACAATAAAATATACTATAAAAACATTAAAAGACAGTAAAAATATTAAGATATATCATTAAAACACAGTACGATGATAAAAAAAACAAAGAGCAGAAAATGCATTATAATAGTATAAAATTATTGCATATATGTTAAAAAGATTAAGACCCGGTTTAAAATAGTTTACAATTATTGCGTTTATATTAAAATATATGTAAGAAAATTAGCACTAGTCTGTCATATAGCACTTAGTCTGAACTACTACTACTACTACTACTACTACTACTACTACTACTACTACTACTACTACTACTACTACTACTACTACTACTACTACTACTACTACTACTACTACTACTACTACTACTACTACTACTACTACTATAAATGTTTGGACAACCCGACCACCCTCCGTCTAGTTCACGCCTTTATAACTTAAAGGCTGGATTATTGTAATAGCCTCCTTATTGGACTCCCAAAGTCTCAAATCTGCAAATTGCAGTTCATTTAAAATTCTGCCGCCCGTCTTGTTACTTTGAATAAGCGCCGTGACCATATAACCCCAGTTCTTCATCAGCTTCACTAGCTCCCCTCGAAAAACGGATCATATAATAAAGTTCTTCTCTTAACTTACAAATCTCAGAACAATCTTGCTCCAGAGTATGTGACTGAACTTCTTGATCAGTACATCCCTACACGCTCTCTCCGTTCATCCACACTAAATCTTCTTGAAGTCAAGAAAACTAAAACCACTACATATGCTCCCGAGCCTTTTCTTCCATTGCAGCCACTTTGTTGAATACCCTCCCAGAACACATTAAAATTCTGATTCAATTCTCACATTCAAATTACTGCTAAAATCACATCTCTTCACTGAAAGTTTTGATAGTTGCCTCTAAATTCCTTCTGCAAATTCATTGTTCTTTCTTGTTTTGTTTTGTTTGAATGAAAGGTAAGTTAAACCTGGTTAAACATAAGAAAGGAAAAGGAAAGAAACGATATGGAATCATGAGAAAGGAAAAGGAAAGAAAAGATAAGGAAACAAAAGAAAGATAACGGTAAGAATGATAAAGAATATAAGAAAGGAAAAGAAAGAAATGAATTTGGAATCATAAGAAGGTAAATGGAAAGAAAGATAAACTAAGGATGAAAAAGGAAAAGGAAAGATAAGGAAACATGAGAAGAGAAAAGCAAGGAAAGATAGACATGGAAACATTAGAAAGGAAAAGAAAACAAAATGATAAGAAATATAAGAATGAAATATGAAAGACAGATACGAATTATAAGAAAGAAAATGAAAGAAAAGATAAGGAATCTAAAAAAGGAATGTGAAAGATAATATAAGGAAACATAAGAAAGGACAAGAAAAGCAAAGATCAGGAACATTTGAAGGGAAAGGAAGAAAGACAAGAAGCAAAAGGGAAAGAAAAATAATAGGCTTTGGAATGAAAAGGAAAGTAACAGGCCTTGAAATTATATCAATTACCAAAACATTGTAATAATAACATTTATTGATAATCATCAAACCAATCATTTGAACTTAATTAAACTAAACTAAAACCAAATATTTGATAATAAATGTTTTGGTACATTTGCATTTGTTTTTTTTTTTCTTCTCTGTTGTTGTTAAGCGCCTCGAGGTTGTGTCAACGTGAGGCGCTATATAAATCCAGAATTATTATCATTACTACTACTGCTGCTGCTGCTGCTACTACTACTACTACTACTACTACTACTACTACTACTGCAATAACCAACCAGATTCAACGTTGCTTTTTATACTTTCAAAGACCATGCTACTGTACGTAAACAGTGTCTAGGCATAGGGATATTCTCATAATAATAGTTCATTAACTTTCGCTTGTAGGCCATCTAGTGATTGGGATTTGTAACTCAGATGAGAAAGTAGGACTAGTCATTCCCGGTCGATTCATTGTCAAGTTTTGTAAAGATACTGTCCATGAGAAATATCCTCATTTTGAAATGGACATACCTGTAAAAGATCCACTCCTTACCTCAAATACTGCTAAGATTCATTGGATTATTGGCTTGCTAAAGAATCACATGATATTGTTTTTAAAAAAATGAATAAAAATATTTAAGATTTTTATATGCGAGAATGTTGAGGTCAGTTTATTTTTGACTTAAAAAAAAAACAATTCTATATATGGCCATACAGTTAATTTCTATATTTCAAATAGGCCTAGTTCCAAGTCCAAGATTATGTACAGGGTAATAATAATAATAATAATAATAATAATAATAATAATAATAATAATAATAATAATAATAATAATAATAATAATAATAATAATAATAATAGTAATAATAATAATGTTATATTTATATAGCGCATAATGCCGGAGCTTCTATGCGCTTCACATAAACAGAAAAAATAGAAAAAAAAAACCCAAAAAAACTAAAACACGAAATAACCTAAAACCGCCAAAAAACTGAAAAACCATCACCACCGCACCGTTCACCGGCAATTTAAGGTGCAAGACCGGCCAGTACATTATTCACAGAATGCCATAATGGTGTGGTTATCTAGCTGCCTATGACAAAAAATAAAAATAAAAAACAAGCATCAGGTTAAAAATTAGAGTGCACCAAAAGGAAGAAACTGTTGCAGATGATCTAATATCGCAAGGTAGCGTGTTCCAAAGTTGTGCCGAAGCAACAGAGAACCTTTTATCACCATATGTAGATATTGATGTTCTCAGAGTTTGCAGTCTGAGTTGAGATGATGACCTAAGACTGCGAACTGAGTGGTGAGGGTTGACCAGTTGTGTAATGTAAGCAGGAGTTGTTGATTGAAGAGCTTTGAAAGTGGTGAGCAGTATCTTGAAGATAAGCCTCTTCTCAATGGGCAGCCAGTGAAGGTAATTGAGGATTGGGGTTATGTGAGCAAATAGTTTACTGCGTGTTACAATGCAAGCTGCTGTGTTCTGTCTCCGCTGTAGTTTAGCGATTTCAGACCTAGGTAATCCATACAAGAGACTGTTACACCAATCCAGGCGTGAGGTAATGAAGGCATGTACCAGTCTGACAAACTTAAAGCATGTTTGAAAAATGCCAGAAGTCAAAGATTGATTGATAATTGTGGTAATAGTGGGCAAACAAATATGCAGATACTTCTTGGCGAATGGTGTAGGAAGAGGATCCAGATTAGATGATTTATTGTTTGAAAAAGAGATAATATCATTAACATCACTTTGTGAAATTTCTTCAAAGGCAGCCAAGGCAGTGATTGGCTTCCAAGGCTACCAGAAGACTGAACATGTTTGCTTAGCTTTTCTCGGATACTTCTAATTTTGTTATGAAAAAACTTAGCGAATTGTTCAGTGAGACTACACAGGCTGCTGTGAGATGGCAGGAAACTTCTTTGCTTGAACAAGATTCTAATAATACAGCAAAATTGAACATCAAATTAAACTTAAAGATGGATGGATGAACGAACAGGCCGACCAACAATGCTCAGATGTGAAGAGCTGATTCTCGGATAGAAAATTAAGTCGGTCATGGTCATGTATTGTACTGTACTGTATGATTGATTTTTGTTAGGAATCGAGGGGCGCTTATTCAAGCGGGGCGCTTAAGAAAATGTTCACGATAGGAGTAGTGCTTACTAGAGAGTACGGTATTACATATTAGTACCGTAGCTTAACACATCCATCCCAGTACTCGAGAACTATATAATTTAAACAAAGCATATACCTGACATAAGAATCACATTTAGCATACATTTTCGTGAGAGATTAAGTAAACTTATCCTACATTGGAATTATTGTTGAAAATCGGCCAAAGCTCGTTATTTTTAGCTTGCACCGAAACTTTGAAAGTAACTTTCCTTGAAAAATAATATCAGTATGATTTCCACCAGTTTTATCTCCGTCATATCATTAATTTTTCTCTAGAATATTTTTTATTGTGTTCTTTTTTTTTTAGTATTCCACATGTGGCTCACAATATTGTAAGGGTATGGTCATTTGTGAGTCAAGTGGGTGAGTGGTTGGTCAGGGACGCCGCTAACTGTCTTAACATCGGCGGGGATTCGAGCCGCTCCTCACCCAGGGTTCAGTTGGTAAAACCAAGTCTTCTCGGATAAGGATTCAAACTGGAGGTCCAGTGTACACATCTGGCTCTTGTGCACTTTAAAGAACCCATTACATATTTCGGACGAATAGGGGATACCCCGTCGCTATGGTTCATTGCAGCCCCTTACGTTGCGGAAATGATAAGAACATGCAACTATTAAGCGAGCGCCTATTTACGGCTGTTGGTAGTCACGGACCAGGCCTATACGCAATTCAGCACAATCACGCTGCGAGTTATGTATGAGTTTTTTTTGTTTGTTTGTTTTTTATCTCAAATTACAGTTATCATTACAAATCAAAGCCAAATATTCAATCTGTTATGGTAAATATGGCCTAATAATAAATAAACGATGATAAATTTAATTAGGTTCAATTAACTGATTGTTATTTTAAACCATTCTTTCCTTTTGATACTGTTAATCCTTTATTTCGTCTTGTGGTGATACTCCTTTTGTAAACATATTATTTATGTGTTTGGCAAGATGAGCTAATAAAAATCAACAAACGAGTTTATAATTAATATTAATATAGTCTATAACTTCATCGAGTTTATAATTAATATCAATATAGTCTATAACTTCATCGATTTATTATTTTGAAAGCTCTGTCCAGACTATCAAATTTTCTTTGACAAAAATCTATATTTGGTCATGATGTGCCTATACATGGTTAAAATGTGAGGTGATGTCATTATGTCCATATTTAGGCATGTCACATGCCAAATATGACAGTTTGGATAGGGCTTAACGCCTTTTTATGTACTGTTATTGCTTAGGACTAGATTCTTCAATCTGTAATATTTAAAATTCTTCATACTATGTTGTTATTAACACATTCACTTTATGAATAGTTTAACTTCATTTTGTGTTGTTATTTATAACCTCTTTTCTCTTTTAATTTCAGGATGAACGAAGAGAAACATTCAAAATAAACGCGTGGTTAACTATGGTGGGTCATTAAAAAAATATTACAATCTTTACCGTACGTCCATATTACACACACTCACCACAACAACTACATACATTGTGGATAGGATTTTACAATTTAACAGTTTTTTTTTTAAATTGAGTCGGCTTTAAGGTGACGATTGTGAAAAATAATGATGAAAAATCAAAATACTCTATACCCAACAATTGCAATCAGTAGATTAAATTGGAAAGCTTTGTCATTTCTAATTTTCCCTATTGTTGCTAATATACGTTTGGAGACTGTTTATTATGACCTACCTGTGGTTTCAAAGACGCTGAATCTGTGTGAATTATTACAAGAACCCGTAACTCATATTATATAGACCTATATTATAATATTATAGCAAAGGCGCAGTTAAAGAAATTGAAACTAGAATATTATAAGGCTAGACTACATGCATTTTTTTAGAAGACTTGTCGATTTATGGAAAGGTATTCAAAGTCAATAGGCCTATCAAATGCAAAATGTCTTATTTATGTAGCTTCTCCCAATTATTCAATACACAAGAGTAAATTCAATGATTTTTTTTATTAGTTTCTCATTCGTATTGGATTACTGCAACACTCTTGCTTAGGATAACCTAACATCGATCAATTGCCGTTTTAAAATTACTTAATCCAGATAAATTATCTATCGTTAAACTTATTGGATCACCCGTTTGTATAAATTTCATAGATCTTACTCGCGCCTGAATCAGTTATCGGATAAAAAGAGAGGCCTACTTTTGGTAAAAAGAAAATTATATCTTAATTATCATCTTAATTATCTGTCCTGTATTGGTTTGTAGTTAAAATGTTAATCGCATATTATTCTGAATGTGCTATAACGTAATTGCTATAACAGATATGCGCCCCAACAGAAATTATAAAGTTTTTGCTGCAATGGACAAGGACACAATAAGGACAAGATTCAGATCATATAAGTGCCGACAAACTAGAACAATTTCAATGTAGATTAAACACTGAATGTATTAAAGAAGACTAAAACTGGTAGCATTCGGTTCATTAGCAGGTGACTAATGGCAGTACAATGTATTGTGGCGGCAATGCAATGCAATCTGTGCTTTGTAAATCGTTGTCCGTATATAGCTCGATGTTCAAACAAACATGTCTGTAAACAAGACATAATGTCTACTTGGGACGACATTCAAGGCATTTCTACGCAGATACAATACTCATAATTCCAGACTATAAAAGAAACTGTCTTAAACAACGTCAGATCGTAATCACATTTATAGTAACATAATATTATTATTAAAAATTATTATTAAGATAATAAAAATCTGTAAACAAGATATTATGTCTACATAGGACGACATTCAAGGCATTTCTACTCAGATACAGTACTCATTAATTCCAGATTATAAAGCAACTGTCATAATCAATGTCAGATCGTAATCACATTTATAGTAACATAATAATAATATTATTAATAATTATTATTAAGATAATAACAATTATAATGATAATGACGATGATGTTGATGATAACGATGATAATAATAATGATGATAACGATAACAACAATAATAATAATATTCATAATAGTACTGTTAATAATTGTAATGATAATAATATAATAATAATGACAATAACGATAATAATCATACATATTATTACTATTATCATTATTATAATTATAACAATGGAAATGATGATAAAGATAATGATAAATATTAGTAAGTATTGTTAATAATGATAATGAAGATAACGATAATTATAACAATTATTATTATTATTATTATTATTATTATTATTATTATTATTATTATTATTATTATTATTATTATCACCGCCAGGAGATATATGTTTTCGTTTCGTATGTGTGTTACGCAATGTTGTCCCGTTTTTGGTGACACGTTTAAAAGCTAAACGTGTTTAGACATAACTTAATGTATTTAGGATCTTGACGTGTTTAGCATTAAATGTGCTTAGGTATTTGACATTAGTATTAACATACTTATTATTATTATTATTATTATTAATATCATCATTCATTAGTATTGGTACGAAGGCATAATGTAATAATACATATGACTATTAAATGTGTGCCGTCGTTCATATGAAATTATAACTATCTATTTATGTCAACCACGAATACTCTCTGTAAACCTTAGCATCTAAAAACTATAATAATGGCATATGAACTGTCTATATGTCTGTTCTTTAAGTGCCTCTTTCACAAGTTAAAGTGTTCATCCTTCTTTTGCTATTTAAATAATAAGTTTATTGTTCTCCATCATGATTGGGTGTGACATGCCCATTGACGCAGATGTCCATCAGCCGACAGAGTGTGGGCTCTACGGTATAGGTACAGGTCTGCACTCGAGCGAAATGATTTACGCTTGTGGATACCGCAAGCTCAGACACTCAGACCATAGTTAAGTGCAGACCATCGTATCATCATAACACTCGTAGTATACTCGTTCGCAAGATAGACTACCTTTTGAAAGTGCACACTGTTATACTAGCCACCATACATGCAATCATGACCTTCGCAAACAGAATAACTACGCATAGGCCTAGGCTATAGTAATATCTTCATAAATCGACGTAGGACCTACGTTTGAATGTAAAGTTTGTACCTACGACCTTGAATGTAATGTAAAAGAG